AAATAAAGCAAACAATTTATAAAAACATTTTAAAAATTAAAAAAATTAAAATCAAAACATTTGTAATTTTTTTTGTTGGTATTATTATAAATATTTCTATTATTTGATTCATTGAAAAATATTTATATTTATAACTAATATAATTATTTTAATAATAATAATAATAATAATAAATAATTGATTATAAAAGTAAATATATAATAATAAATTTACTATAAATTAATAATAATAATAATATTAATAATAATACTGTAAAGATATACTAGATTATAGAAAAAATATATTTTTTAATTTTTAGTTTATACATTTTTAGGTTTTTTTTATTTATATATAATTTTATTACAATAATTATATAATATATCATATTAAAGCAGTTTATAATTGATAGATAGCACTAATATTTAAATACAATAAATTAAAAAAAATATTAATATCAAAAGTAATTAATATCATATATATATAAAGTTATATAAAATTAAAATAATTATAGAAATACAACTTAATTAAAAAAAATTATTAATTAATTACTTAAATTAAAATAAATATCAATATTACTGTGTTATGTTTGTTATTTAATTTTTTTTTTAAAAATATTAATTTACTAATAAATAATAATAATAATATATTTTGTTTTTTTTAAATAAAAAAACATGGCATTTATATATATGTTAAAATTATTAATAATAATCATATTATTATTATTATCATTATTAAATGCTAACAAAAACAATCATCTAGTCGATAATTGCGGTATTGTATCTAGGTAATAAAATATTATAATTTAGAAAATTATATTTTTATAGATATTTATGTTATTTTTTTTCTATTTAATTAAATTAATAAATAAACTAAAAGTTAAAAAAAACATTTGTTTTTTTTGGTATAACAATTACATAATAATATTAATAACAAAACAAAAATTATCAACTAGTTAAAATTGTGTCTAGGTAAAATTATTTTGTTTTTAAATTTTTTATTAATTATTATTTAATTATTCATAAAAAATAACATCAATAACAAAAAAGTTATTTTACACAAATTTAAAAAATAATTTTATATTATTATTAATTAATTGCAATTATATTATAATAATATAATACAATATCTTATTTTATTTTTTTACTATTAATAAATTGCAATTATATTATAATAATATAACACTATATCTTAATTATTATTTTATTTTTATTTTTTTTTTGATTAATAGTAATACAGGTGCCCATCATCCTAGTATGATAAGCACACGTATCCTAAATGGTGGTTATATAGCCAGTGATCATCAATATCCATGGATGGTATCCCTGTTTGAACAGTCATCAAACAATAGTCTAATAACCGGCAAACCAATGGATAAGAGGCGACACTTTTGCGGCGGTACTATAATTGGCGACCGATTTGTTTTGACTGCCGCTCATTGTCTGTAATTAAGATTAAACAAMAAAAATATTTTATTTAAAAAAAAAATATTTATTTATTCTATTGTTGTTGAAAAAAAAAATCTCAATTAATTTAATTCAAATAATAATTATCTAATATATTTACAGTATATATATATATATATATATATTATTTGAAAAATAGATTATTATTATTATTTTTAAAAAAAATTAAATTAAAAAATAATTTAGATTTTTAAAAAAAAAATGAAAACTATTTTTAACCCAAAAACAAAATAATAAAGATTATATATACACAATATATGTAAAATAATTAATTATTTTGTTGAAAAAAATTTCAATTAATTAATTCAAATAATAATTAATCTAATATTTTTACAGTATATATATATATATATATATATATATATATAAAATCTTWATTATTTTGTTTAGGTTTAAAAAATAATTTTAATATATTTTTTAAATCTAAATTATTTTTTAATTTAATTTTTTTTTAAAAAAAATAATAATATTATTATTTTAGTATATTTAACGCCAATTTAACTTATAATGAAAATTATTGCAACAAAATTGGTCTAATGTTTGGATCAAATAGTCTACTATTGAATAGTAGTAGTAGTAGTAGTAGTAGTAGTAGTAGTAGTAGTAGTAGTAGTAGTAGTAGTAGTAGTAGTAGTAGTAGTAGTAGTAGTAGTAGTAGTAGTAGTAGTAGTAGTAGTAGTAGTAGTAGTAGTAGTAGTAGTAGTAGTAGTAGTAGTAGTAGTAATAGTTTGGTTATTGGCGATTGTGATCAACAATTTATACATGAAAAATTTTATCCAATTGATCCGGCTACCTATAAGTATGATGTGGCACTGATTAGGACCAAACAGCCCATACCATTGAATGGACTAACCATACAGGTATGTTAGGTGTGCGGGCGGGGGTAGGGGGTAGGGGTAGAGTGTAGGAGGAAGTGGTATATATGTAAAGTGTGGTGATTTTTTTTTGTTGTAGAAATCAATTGCAAAGTTATTGCAAATTTTTTTTCTGGAAATTATTTATTTTAATTAATTTTGAAATTTTTATAATTATAAAATTTAAAATTTGATATTAAAATTAAAGGTATTTTAGTTACTTTAGAAAATTAGTAATTTTTTTAAAAAAAACATAAATAAATTAATTAAATAATATAGAAACTAAAATCATTATTTAATTATAAAAAGCTAGTTATATATAAATAAATAATTTTGTTAATAATATTAAATATAAAACTTAAAAAGATAAAAATATAGTTAAAATTAGTACATTATAAAAAAAATTTAGCTTGTATAATTAATTTATTAATAATTATATCTATAATTTTAAAAAATTATATATATTATTGATACTATATAAGCAATTTTTTATCTTATATATAGATTTATTTATCTAAAATTTACAATATAATTTTATTCAACAATAATTAATTAATTAATTAATTAATTAATTAATAGGCAGTATGTATGCCAACTGTCCTGGAGGATCGTCTAGCAGTTAATAGTTTACTAGAACAGGCCGGTTGGGGTAAAAATACAACCGACCAACAAATTGATGAATCAATTAGAAATCAATCAATCAATTTGATGAACAATCGTAGCGATTATATATTGGAAAATTTTATACCCGATCGGTTACGTTGGACCCGTTACTATAGTATAGGTGCCGATCAATGTAAACGTATGATCAGGCAGCACCGGTATATTGATTTCAATGGTGATGATAATAATAATAATCAGACAGTCAATACTGAACCAGTCGACTGGATGGCCGTTTATGAGGAAAATCTATGTTTGATGCCCAGTGTACCACCCGGTGCCCCGTTTGGTACATATAGTTCATCATTTAATGCATATCATTGTAATTTAAAGTTATTATTATAYATACACATACACATACACATACACATACACATACACATACACATACACATACACATACACATACACATACACATACACATACACATACACATACACATACACATACACATACACATACACATACACATACACATACACATACACATACACATACACATACACATACACATACACATTAATATATACTAATAATTATTATTATTAAATTACAGGTGACAGTGGTTCGTGTGTTTATAAAAAAGTTGGTCACCGTATCTATTGTGTTGCTATAATAAGTCGTGGAACATTAGATAAATATAATTTACCATTGACAATTGCATTGCGAGTATTTAGCAAGATTGATTGGATTAATAAAATTATCAATGATAGTAATCATAGTAGTAATTAAAACTTATAGAAATATTATATAAATTAATAAAGATTAATTATTATATAAAATTTAAAAAAATAATTTTATTTTAAAGTATATTATAGTACACTATACAAATTATTATTGCATATTTAATTCATTTTAAAAAAATTGATAACAAATAATGTTTAAATAAATTTTTAATAAATTTAAAAAAATAATTTTAGTATTTATTTTCACCTACAATATGGTTTTTTTTAAAACATAAATATTTAATTAAATAATAATAATGATAAATAGTTTATTTAATCATTATTAATAACAACTAATTAAAAAAAATTATTTAATACATTTAATTATAATTAAACATTAATAATAGTTTATAAATATGTCTGTCATATTAATTTTAAAATTGTTATTATTATTATTATTATTAAATATAAATGCTGACAAAAATCAACTAGTTGATAATTGCGGAATTGTGTCTAGGTAAAATTATTATTTTTTAAATTTAAATTAATTATTCACAAAAAAATATCAACAAAACAGTTATATTGTAATTTGAAATTATTTGAAGTTATTTAATATATTTTTTTATTAATAATAATAACTTGCAATTATATTATATATAATATAACACATAATAAATATTATTATTATTTTTTGTTTTGAGGAACAGTAATACAGGTGCCCATCATCATCATTATCATCCTAGTATGATAAGCACCCGTATCCTAAATGGTGGTTATATAGCCAATGATAATCAATTTCCATGGATGGTATCATTGTTTCAAAAGCCAATAACTAATGATAGAAATAATAGGGAAAAATCAAGTAGTAGTAGTAGTAATAATAATAATAATAATAATAATAAACAGGTATTGGATAAAAGGCAACACTATTGCGGCGGTACTATACTAAGCGATCGATTTGTTTTGACTGCCGCTCACTGTCTGTAATTAAGATCTATATAAAAAAAAATCTTTATTTATTTATTTATTATTTAAAAAAAATCTATTATTTATCTAAGAAAAAAATCAATAAATTAAATATATAATTAATATGTTTATAATTTGATTTTTTTTAGATAGATAAATAAGTTATATATTTTTTTTAAATAATTATTTTTTTAAAAAAAAATAATAATTATTATTTTTTGTATTTTACAGTTTTGTTAGTATAGTTCATTGCAACAAAATTCAGCTAATGTTTGGATCAAATAGTCTACTATTTAACAGTAGTAGTAGTAGTAGTAGTAGTAGTAGTAATAGTAGTAAATTAGATGATGATAATAATAACAGTGCGGTTATTGGCGATTGTGACCAACAATTTATACATGAATTATATAATATGACTGATCCGTCAACTTATATGTATGATGTGGCACTGATTAGGACCAAACAGCCCATACCATTGAACGGTATAAACATACAGGTATGTTAAGAGGGTAGAGTAGGGTAGGGTAGGGTAGGATAGAGTAGGGTAGTGTATGGTAGGGTAGTGTATGGTAGGGTAGTGTAGTGTAGTGTAGTGTAGGGTAGTGTATGGTAGGGTAGGGTAGGAGGGTGAAATGTGATGCTAGTTGTGTGGGTAGGTAAGGGAAGTGGGTGAGTTTTATCTATAGAAAACTTTAACCTATTGTACAATACTTTATATATATATATATTATTTAATTAAAAATTATTAAATTAATAAAAAAATATATAAAATATTTTTTTTTCATATCTATTTTAGAAATAATTTTAAAAACAAACAATTAATTATTATTATTATAATTATAATTATTATAATTATTATAATTATTATAATTATTATAATTATTATAATTATTATAATTATTATTATTATTATGATAGGCAGTATGTTTGCCAACTGTCCTGGAGGATAGACTAGCAGTTAATAGTTTACTTGAACAGGCAGGTTGGGGTAAAACTACTACTAGAACATTAAGTGATCAATTGGATGAGCAAGCTAAATCAAAATTATCAAAAGATGAACGTAAAGACTTTAGGCCAGTAGATTGGATACCCGATCGGTTACGTTGGGCCAGTTACTATGGTATAGGTGCCGATAAGTGTAGCCAGATGATCCGACAGCACCGGTATATTGATGTATCGGTGGATGCTAATAATACTAATCGTACTATTCAAAAAGTAGCCAGCATTAACCAGACAAATTTATTTACAAAAATTTACGATGATAATTTATGTTTGCTATCAAGTGTGCCACCTGGCGGTCCCTTAGATGCGCTCAGTTCATCCTATAATGCATATCAATGTAAGTAAAAAAAAAATTTTTGGGGTTTGTGTCATTTGGCTTTGACAATATGGCGATATACTGTCTTACAGAAATTACGTTCACCTATTCGGTTAAATGTTAAATCAGTGTTCGCTCCGTTACCTAACCTGGTGTTCGCCCCGTAACCTAACCCTATTTATAATGCTATTACACATCCCTAATCAATAAACCGTAATTAATTTAATATACATTCAATTAATATTAAATATGTTAGATGACTATTTAATGTTTTATGTATCGATCATAAATTACGTTACACTGTCAAACATATATGACACTATGGCCAAAATTTTTTGTTTGTAACGTGTGTTTAGGGCTCGAAATTCAAATACGTATAGAGTAACTACAGTTAATTTTGTCGTAATTTAAATACGTTACGTTATTTTTTTACGTTATTACTGTACTAAGCTACTAATAATGATAAAAATGATTTTTTTTCAAATTAAATTATATTTTGCTAAAAAAAACCTAATAATAATAATAATAATAACGACACCTTTGATTGCACAATAAATCTTTTATTGAGAGAGTTGTTTTAACAAAAATTATTTTTAAATCAAATTTAAATACAATAGTATGTTAATCCACTAATTGTTCTATAAGGTTAATAATAAATCAACAAATATTTTCTAATAAAATCTAAAAACATAAGCAATAAAAATTGATTTAATTTTAAAAAAAAAACATTTTTTATCATTAATAGTAGCTTTACAGTAATAATGTAAAAATAATATTTATTTTTAATTACCAGACAAAATTACCAGTAGTTACTTTATATGTAAAATTTCGAGTCTAGCCTTAAACACACACATTAAACATACATATAATAGCATTGATGTTTATTATTAAATAAACAGGTGACAGTGGTTCGGGTGTATATAAAAAAGTTGGTCACCGTATCTATTGTGTTGGTATAATTAGTCGTGGACTATTAGATACAGATAATTTACCATTGACAATTACAGTTAGGGTATTTAGCATGATTGATTGGATCAATAAAATTATCAATGATAATAAAAAGTAAAAAAAATTAATACAGTTAATACTAATTAATTTAAATCTTATAATTGTAATTTTAACTAAAAAATTATAATAATTAAAAAAATATATTTGATTTTACATGTATTTATATTTATTATTAAAAAATATTAATATTTCTATATTGACATAATATTTACTGTACAGTATTTATAATTTAAATTTATTAAAATATAAAATTAATTTAATGTAATAAAATTATTAATGATAGTAATCATAATAGTAATTAAAATTGAAATAAATAATAATTATTTTTTAATAAAAACAAAATAAGTTGTTTTGTTTTGGATATTATATTAATTATTATATACTTTTTAAAATTGTTATTTAAAACATAGTTATTATACTAAGTTAATATTTAATAACTTTAAATAAAAATATTTTTAATAATTAATTAAAAATATATTTTATCTAAATTTAATTTCTATAAGTTTTTGATATGTATTAAAGTTTTAAAATTATATTTTTTAAAGATTATTATTATTATTATTATATTATTAGAATAAATTCTAAAAATATTATATAAAATAATAAACATTAATTATTATAAAAAAATTATTTTTAAAAATAAATTTTATTTTAAAGTATATTAAAGTAGTACACATTATATAGTAAATTGATTATTATTAATAAACTACAGGTGACAGTGGTTCGGGTGTTTATAATAAAGTTGGTAACCGTATCTATTGTGTGGGTATAATAAGTCGTGGACTAGGTGATAAATATAATTTACCATTGACAATTACAATTAGGGTATTTAGCAAGATTGATTGGATCAATAAAAATATCAATAATAATAAAAAGTAAAATTAATACAGTTAATACTAATTAATTAAATTTTATAGTTCTAATTTCAACTAAAATTATAATAACTAAAAAAATATATTTGATTTTACATGTATTTATATTTATTATTAAAAAAAATATTAATATTGATATATTGACATATTTATTTATAATTTAAATTTATTAAAAAGTAAAATTAATTGTTAATGTTTTAATAAATATCTAAAAATAATCAATAAAAAAAACATGTAAAATATATTATTTTTGTAATAAATATTTTTATATTACATTAAAATCAATTTATTAAATAATAATTATTTATTTCATGTTATTTTATAGTACTCTATGAATATAATCATCTGAAAATAAAAGTAATAGATTTTATTTTTATTAATAAATATCACTATAAATATTATTTTTTAAAAAAACAATTTATTTTATATTAAATATATTTTTACTAATAGTACAGTAAATTAACAATAAATAAACTTTTAGTTTAATAAACAACTTTATAATTATTATTTAATAAATATTTGTATAAAAATATTTATTAATATATTTATATTACGGTATAAATACAGTACATTAAATAATCATTAGTAGCGATATCATAGACTAATAATTTTTTAGTAAATAATATCATATCAAATGATATTATTATTATAATAATTAATAAACAAAAATATATGAATCATATTATTATTAAAGTTATTACTGTATTATTATTATTATTATTATAATCATTAAATAATATAAAGCAATAGAAAATATATGTAATATAATAATAATAAATGTTTTACTATTATAATCCTAATTGATATTTATTATCATTAAAAATTAATTATTTTTAAAAAATAAAATAAAATTTTTGTTAACTATTATATTCAAGTTGTTTATTATATACGTTTAAAAATAAACTAATTTTATTTTGGTTATCATCATAACAGTACTAACAGTTAAAATTGGTATTAAAATAATTATTTTTTTAAAGAAAAATAATTATGAAATTCACAAAATTAACATTTAAATCATTATATCTAATACTATGTTCAATGGGCTGTATGTATCAAATCTATCGTATAAGTAGACTATACTATAGCTATGATACGACTACTAATCTCCGGTATCATACAGAGGACAGTCTAATATTGCCCGGTATTACTGTTTGCGTGCAAAAAGCATTGGTATTGAAACAGTCATTTTTGACGGAAATATTGGACAAATCATACCATAACAACATCATCAACAATATGACTGTCAATGAAATTAATTATATCAATTGGATATTGAATAGAAATTTTTCAATAGCTGACCAAGCTAGACTATTGGCACCGGTAGATACATGGTTGACATGTATGGTTATCCAACCTAATGATGATAGTATTAATGATAACAATAATAATATTAGTACTGATTGTAGCCAATGGTCCAAATGGTTGCTGACAATCGATACGCATAGACTGTGCGTAACAATGTTTGCCAATACAATTGATGGCCATTTCCAGGGACAACACAGTGTCCCAAACAATAACATGGCTTACGTACGCATCAGGGTGCGTAAACTGGCCAATTTGGACCCATATATGCGTATACATTACGCGGCAAAATATTTCGAAATTTTTCAACAATTTTTCCAATTTAACAAATCCTACGAAATCTATTACTATCGGGCAGTAGTCATAAATTACGTCTATTTGGGTAGCAGTAGGTGTCTGTACGGTAAAGCTAAACACGGTTGCCGACGGTTATGTACACACCGCAGATATGTACGCGATTATCAAATGTACCCTGGTCAACAATTATGCTATAATATGTCTAGTACATTGAAATTTGCCAGTAACCTAGATCAAGCTTCAAGTAACTTAACTAGATACAATAAGCAATGTCGTTGGTATTGTTCAAATCGTTTGGAATGTTACCAGGAAATTTATCGCTTAGATAAAACTAGCATGGTCGAATCGTCATCCGATAAATACTATATGGCAGTTATTAGACAATCCCTGTCGCATACTATCTACAATGAAATTTCCCTGAAAATTACCATGGAAGAATATCTATGTATGATTGCCAGTTTAATTAGCCTATGGTTTGGTTTCAATATGATATATATATTTGATCTGGCTAAGTTTGTCTATACATTGAATAATAATTATCTCAAAAAGCAACTAGCTGAAAATGTTGCTGATGCAGTTGATAACCCTACTACTACTACTACTACTACTACTACTACTACTACTACTACTACTACCCCTACTACTACTACTACCCCTACTACTACTACTACCCCTACTACTACTACTACTACTACTACTCCTAGTAGTAGTAGTAGTAGTAATACTAATAGCGATAATAATAATAAGAAAACTAAATTATCCATGAAACAAATTATTAAAAATAATTATCATCGACAACAATTGCAAATTGTACAACCTCATATTAAAATATCAATATAGATTTTTTTAAATTTTTTTAATTATTTTAATTTTTAAGTTAATATACTGTACATTTTTTTATTTAAAAAAATATGTTTAATTATATACCGGTATTAAAGTTATTATATTAATAACTATTAAAATAATAATGTAATCAATAATTTTTGTTTTATGTTATTGTTGTTGATTATTCAATTCAATTAAATTTAATTAAACAAATATTAAAAATTAAAATCTAAATTAAAATTAAACATCCAGTATCTTTCACTCTATAAACTTTTAAATGTTATTTTTGTAATTAATTTATTCAATTAAAATTATTTAATAATTTACAGTTTAAAAAATAATTTAAAAAAAATAAATTGTATTTAATAGTTAATTTTTTGTTTGTTTAATTTATTATTATTATTATTAATATTAAAGGACAAATAATATACTAATTAAATTATTATTTTAAAAAAATAAAATAATTATTTTTTTAAAATATTTATACTAAAATTTTATAGAAATATTTATATCTTTATAGTGTTTGTTTATAGTATAGTAAATATTTTTTTTAGTAATTTGTCGTTTATTTTACCCTTATTTAAAATTAAAAGACTATAACATTTTAATTATATTTTATTTTATTTATGTAAAATGTTTTATAAAAATTTAATATAATTAGATTAAGCACTATGACTCTATTTATTATAAAATTATTTATTTTTATAATTATTAATTTTATAATTATTAATACATAGAGTATTTATTATAGCTTATAAATTAATAGTTAATAGTAATAATAATAAAAGTTGCATTTATATAATAAAAACTTTTAATTATAAAAATTGATATATTTTTATAAAAAATATATTATAAAATGTTTTAACTAGTTTATATTATTTAAAAATAGTTTTAATTAATAAAGTTTTAATATTAAATTTTTCTTTTATATATTAACAACACAAAAAAAATATTACAATTATTTTATAATATGCTATAAAATAAAATTTATCAAATTATTAGTATTTTTTTGTGTATAAAATAAAAATTAAATTTTTTTACAGTACATTACTTTAATATGCAATTATTATTATTATTATTATTATTATTATCGTAATGTAGATAAAAATAACTTATAAACTATATGTGCAAACAATAAATAATATATATAATATATATATTTATATATTTAAGAGTTAAATCACGATTTCAGTACTTTTTTTATTGCTATTATAAAAATATAATGACATTATTATTATTATTATTATTATTACTTATATATACAGCTATATTGTTGAAAGAGAGAGAGAGAGAGAGAGAGAGAGAGAGAGAGAGAGAGAGAGAGAGAGAGAGAGAGAGAGAGAGTACAATACGAGGAAAATCACTGCAAATAATAATAATTTTTAAATAAAATATTTATAATAACTTAAGTAATACTTTATTTTTTAGTTTACCTGTAAAAGTCTAAATCAAATAATATTATTAATAATAATAAGTGTTTGAATAAAATAGTAGTAAAAAAAATTATGCAAACATTGAATTGAATTCAACCAACAAATCAAATATAATAATAATAATAATAAAATAAATAAATTTATTATTTATATAATCAATTGACTGTAGAAATATACAGTAGAAAAATATTATATATATATATATATTGTATATGAAAATAATAATAATAAATAATTGTCTAAATTAWTAWTAATAATAATAATAATATGTGTGTTATTTATTTTGCTTAATAACTCTCTCTCTCTCTCYCTCTCTCTCTCTCTCTCTCWCTCTCTCTCTCTCTCTCTCTCYCTCTCTCTCTCTCTCTCTCWCTCTCTCTTAMACTGTTAACAAACAATATATATATTTTTTATCATAAATTAATAAAAAATAATATTATATTTATTGACATTTCAACCACAAATGTAATGATAACAACAACAGTGATAATAATATTTAATATTATTTAAGACTATATAATAAAACAWAYAAAAAAAATTATGTGAATTATCTAWAAAAATAATAATAAAAAAAATTATGTGATTTATCTAAAAAAATAATATCATATTTAGTATTATTAGTATTATATTTATACTCAACACACACAACAAAATGTTTTAATAATAATAATAATAATAATAATAATAATTAAATAATATTAAGTTTTTWAAAAAAAGTTTATTATAATTTTCTAAAAAAATTTTTTTTGTGATTTAATTGTTTTTTAGATATAAATATTTAATTATTATATAATTATTAAGTCAACAACAAAACTAATTGCAACCAAAAAAAATAATTTTTTCCCGATATTTAATGTATTAAATTAATAATTTTATTAATTATTATAATAATAATTATATATTAAGTTTTGTAATTAAAATTTTAAAAAAACTTAATAATAATATCAACAACAAAAAAATGTCACAAAAATTATTAGACAAGTTTGCCATTAGTGGCCATATCGGGAATCCCATGAAACGTGATATCAGCAAGTTTTACGTGTTTATCGGTATTGACGACCAAAACATATTGTTTACGACCAAACGGTCGGACCGAGTCTACGG